ACTATAGACTAGACTATAGACTAGAGTATAGACTAGACTGTAGACTAGACTATAGACTAGACTATAGACTAGAGTATAGACTAGACTGTAGACTAGATTATAGACTAGACTATAGACTAGATTATAGACTAGACTATAGACTAGACTATAGACTAGACTATAGACTAGACTATAAACCAGACTATTGACTAGACTATAGACTACACCATAGACTAGACTATAGACTAGACTGTAGACTAGACTATAGACTAGACTGTAGACTAGACTATATACTAGACTGTAGACTAGACTAGACTATAAACTATAGACTAGACTATAGACTAGACTACTAGACTATAGAACTAGACTAGACTAGACTATAGACTAGACTAAGACTAGACTATAGACTAGACTAGACTATACGACTAAGACTAGACTACTAGACTAGACTATAGCCTAGACTATAGGACTAGACTATAGACTAGATATAGACTGACTATAGACTAGACTATAGACTAGACTATAGACTAGACTATAGACTAGACTATAGACTAGACTATAGACTAGACTATAGACTAGGACTATAGACTAGACTATAGACTAGACTATAGACTAGACTATAGACTAGACATATAGACTAGACTATAGACTAGACTATAGACTAGACTATAGACTAGACTATAGACTAGACTATAGACTAGACTATAGACTAGACTATAGACTAGGCTATAGACTAGACTATAGACTAGACTATAGACTAGACTATAGACTAGACTATAGACTAGACTATAGACTAGACTATAGACTAGACTATAGACTAGACTATAGACTAGACTATAGACTAGACTATAGACTAGACTATAGACTAGACTATAGACTAGACTATAGACTAGACGATCGACTAGACTAGACTATAGACTAGACTATAGACTAGACTATAGACTAGACTATAGACTAGACTATAGACTAGACTATAGACTAGACTATAGACTAGACTATAGACTAGACTATAGACTAGACTATAGACTAGACTATAGACTAGACTATAGACTAGACTATAGACTAGACTATAGACTAGACTATAGACTAGACTATAGACTAGACTATAGACTAGACTATAGACTAGACTATAGACTAGACTATAGACTAGACTATAGACTAGACTATAGACTAGACTATAGACTAGACTATAGACTAGACTATAGACTAGACTATAGACTAGACTATAGACTAGACTATAGACTAGACTATAGACTAGAGACTATAGACTAGACTATAGACTAGACTATAGACTAGACTATAGACTAGACTATAGACTAGACTATAGACTAGACTATACTAGTCTATAGACTAGACTTTAGACTAGACTATAGACTAGACTATAGACTAGACTATAGACTAGACTATAGACTAGACTAGACTAGACTAGACTGTAGACTAGACTATAGACTAGACTATAGACTAGACTATAGACTAGACTATAGACTAGACTATAGACTAGACTATAGACTAGACTATAGACTAGACTATAGACTAGACTATAGACTAGACTATAGACTAGACTATAGACTAGAATAGACTAGACTATAGACTAGACTATAGACTAGACTATAGACTAGACTATAGAAGACTATAGACTAGACTATAGACTAGACTATAGACTAGACTATAGACTAGACTATAGACTAGACTATAGACAGACTATAGACTAGACTATAGACTAGACTATAGACTAGACTATAGACTAGACTAGACTAGACTATAGACTAGACTATAGACTAGACTATAGACTAGACTATAGACTAGACTATGACTAGACTATAGACTAGACTATAGACTAGACTATAGACTAGACTAGACTAGACTATAGACTAGACTATAGACTAGACTATAGACTAGACTATAGACTAGACTATAGACTAGACTATAGACTAGACTATAGACTAGACTATAGACTAGACTATAGACTAGACTATAGACTAGACTATAGACTAGACTATAGACTAGACTATAGACTAGACTATAGACTAGACTATAGACTAGACTATAGACTAGACTATAGACTAGACTATAGACTAGACTATAGACTAGACTATAGACTAGACTATAGACTAGACTATAGACTAGACTATAGACTAGACTATAGACTAGACTATAGACTAGACTATAGACTAGACTATAGACTAGACTATAGACTAGACTATAGACTAGACTATAGACTAGACTATAGACTAGACTATAGACTAGACTATAGACTAGACTATATACTAGACTATAGACTAGACTATAGACTAGACTATAGACTAGACTATAGACTAGACTATAGACTAGACTATAGACTAGACTATAGACTAGACTATAGACTAGACTATAGACTAGACTATAGACTAGACTATAGACTAGACTATAGACTAGACTATAGACTAGACTATAGACTAGACTATAGACTAGACTATAGACTAGACTATAGACTAGACTATAGACTAGACCATAGACTAGACTATAGACTAGACTATAGACTAGACCATAGACTAGACTATAGACTAGACCATAGACTAGACTATAGACTAGACTATAGACTAGACTATAGACTAGACTATAGACTAGACTATAGACTAGACTATAGACTAGACTATAGACTAGACTATAGACTAGACTATAGACTAGACTATAGGCTAGACTATAGACTAGACTATAAACTAGACTATAGACTAGACTATAGACTAGACTATAGACTAGACTATAGACTAGACTATAGGCTAGACTACAGACTAGACTATAGACTAGACTATAGACTAGACTATAGACTATACTATAGACTAGACTATTGACTAGACTATTGACTAGACTATAGACTAGACTATAGACTAGACTATAGACTAGACTATAGACTACACTATAGACTAGACTATAGACTAGACTATAGACTAGACTATAGACTAGACTATAGACTAGACTAGACTAGACTATAGACTAGACTATAGACTAGACTATAGACTATAGCCTCGACGATAATCTGGTCTATAGTCTCAATGATAGTTTGGTCTAAAGTCTCGATTATAGTCTGGTGTGTAGCCTTATTTATAGTCTGCACTATATTCTGGTCTATATCCTCGTTTATAGTCTCGACTATAGTCTGGGCTGTACTCTGGTCTATAGTATAGACCAGACTATAGTCGTGTCTGTAGTTAGAATATAGTCTGGTTTATAGTCTCGACTATAGTCTGGGCTATAGCCTCGTTTATAGTCTGGTCTATAGGCTCGACTATAGTCTGGTCTATAGTCTGGTCTATTGTCTAGACAATAGTCTGATCTATAGTCTAGACAATAGTCTGATCTATAGTCTAGACAATAGTCTGATCTATAGTCTAAACAATAGTCTGATCTATAGTCTCGACCATAGTCTGGTCCATAGTCTTAACTATAGTCTGGTCTATTTGCTCGACTATAAGTAGTTTTGTTTATACTCTCGACTATATTCTGTTCAATCATTTCAACTTTAATCTAGTTTTTTGTCTCGAATATAATAAGATCTTTTATCTCGATTGGTAGCCATTATATTTTGTTACATTAACCTAAACAGATTTGCAGTAATTACGCTTAATACTTGTTATAAGAAATTACCTTAATCATTATCTAAAACACATTAATCGTCTAGTATTCCCACAAACTAAAACGAAATACAAATTATGTATCATTTCCCAAGATTAAATCGCATGTTATTATAATAAATTCATTTTTAATTATATTTAAGTGCAATACAATCGAATACAATTGGTTATATATAGTTTAGTAAACAGAATTTCATATTTTTATACCCACCATCAAAAAAGATGGGGGGTATATTGATTTTGTCATTCCGTTTGTAACACATCGAAATATTGGTCATAGACCCACAAAAGTATATATGTATTCTGGGTCCTCATTAAATTCTAAGACGATCTAGCCATGTCTGTCCGTCTGTCCGTCCGTCCGTCCGTCTGTCTGTCTGTCTGTCTGTTGAAAGCACGATAGAGTCCGAATGGAAAGAGCTAGAGGGTTGAAATTTCACATAAGTATTTCTTATAGGTAAGGTTTGTTTGGTATTGAAAATGGGCAATATCGGTCCACGTTTTCGGATAGCCCCCATACAAGTGGCCCCTCGAAAAGCAGCTTTAACAGCCATAACTTGTTTAATAATACGAATATAGCGATGAAATTCGACACAAGTAAGTTTCTTGTTATCCAAAATCACTATGCAAAATTTTATGAGGATCGGTCCATAATTGACCCTACTCCCCTATTTAAGGTCCCCTTCAGAAAATTACTTTAACGCTTATAACTGGCCTAAAAAGTATATAGATGAAATTAGATATAAGTAAGTTTCATTCGAGTCAAACGAGGCTTGATGGTGGGTATATAAGATTCGGCATAGCCGAATATAACACTCTTACTTGTTTTTATTTAGAATTTTTTTATGGTTTTCGTTACATTTTTATTGAAGTTATAATAACAATTACTAACGCTTTTATTATCGTGTTTATTAAATATTTATAAACATGAATTTCATGGTTTGACACCTGATAAATTATTTATAAAAAGGAAAAAAATTTTGTTATAGAAAAATGGAATTTGGTTTTGTTTTTAAAAATAGAAATATTTTGTTAGTCTGAACACGTCAATAGATTTTTATTTAAGTCATAAAAGAACGACTGTTGTTTATGTTAAGGAAATGTTGTAATAAATTATTAACCTTTTTTTTTTCTTCTTTACGTAGTCAATGTAACGTAACGTACTTTTCTTATAACAATAACAATTTGTTTGTGGTAAAATTTGTAAGAATTTTTTTTTAACTTTTTGCGGTCTATTACGGTTCATTGAGCAGGAAAATGTATTAATAAAGTATATAATAAAGAAAACACTAGAAACATTTTTATTGAGTAGCTTTATTACTAAAAGAAACAGATTGTATACTCCTACTACAGTCAAGGTTAAAACTGGAACATAAAAATAATCTAAAATTTTTTTCTCTCAACTTTTAGCAAAAGCCGCTGTTAAAATCCAAGCCGCATTTAGAGGACATAAAGTTCGAAATACCATGAAGAAAACAGAAACTACCACCACCACCTCTTCGGCTGGTTCTGCTACAGCAGCAGCCGCAGCTGCTGGTAATGCAGCCGCTAGTGCCACTACAGAACATGAACCAACTAAAGCTGAATTGGAAGCTGAATTTGATCCCAATGACAAAGGTAGGTTTATGCTAAAACTATATAAATATCTCTCTATATACATACATAACAAAACTATTGTCAATGACAGTTCTGGGCGTAGAAAATGAGTGAAATAGAAAAAGTCAGTGGTTTAGGTTAAAATATTAAATTAGGGCGGAAAAAAGAAGGAGGTGGCTTGCAAATCTGTAAATGACAGATTCTCTTCATATGTACATTTGAATAAAAGTATTTCTGTATATACTCCTCCAACTGTGTTTATGTCTGTGTCTGAACGCTTTGAATTGATGTTTCTTTCGGTAGCGAGTGCCGTCGCGATGTCAAGGATGTTGATTTGACAAAGGCTTAAAATACAAAAGAGTAGCGTTCAAATGCAGGGCATTTCTAAAGGATTGAATAAAAAAATCAATTTTTTATTCACAAATGAAACGACAATAAATAAAACTATATAAATGTCAAGCTTTTAGATATCAGATTACATTTGCAAAAGTGTGATGACAGCTTGGGAACTTTTATATATACTAGACTATAGACTAGACTATAGACTAGACTATAGACTAGACTATAGACTAGACTATAGACTAGACTATAGACTAGACTATAGACTAGACTATAGACTAGACTATAGACCAGACTATAGACTAGACTATAGACTAGACTATAGACTAGACTATAGACTAGACTATAGACTAGACTATAGACTAGACTATAGACTAGACTATAGACTAGACTAGACTAGATTAGACAATAGACTAGACTATAGACCAGACTATAGACTAGAGCATAGACTAGACTATAGACTATACTATAGACTAGACTATAGACTAGACTAGACTATAGACTAGACTATAGACTAGACTATAGACTAGACTATAGACTAGACTATAGACAAGACTATAGACTAGACTATAGACTAGACTATAGACAAGACTATAGACTAGACTATAGACTAGACTAGACTATAGACCAAACTATAGACCAGAATATAGACTAGACTATAGACGAGGTTGTAGACCAGACTATAGACTAAGCTATTAACTAGACCAGATTGCTAACTAGACTATAGACTTGGCTATAGACTGGACTATAGACTAGATTATAGACAATACTATAGACACGACTACAGACTAGACTATAAAATTACTATAAACTAGACTATAGACCGTACTATAGGCCAGACTAGACTAGAGACAAGACTATAGACTAGATTATAAAGTAGCCTATAGACTAGATTATAGACTAGACTATAGACTTGGCTATAGACTAGACTATAGACTAGAGTATAGACTAGACTATAGTCTTGACTATAGACTAGACTATAGACTAGACTATAGACTAGACTATAGACTAGACTATAGACTAGAATATAGACTAGACTATAGACTAGACTATAGACTAGACTATAGACTAGACTAGACTATAGACTAGACTATAGACTAGACTATAGACTAGACTAGACTATAGACTAGACTATAGACTAGACTATAGACTAGACTATAGACTAGACTAGACTATAGACTAGACTATAGACAAGACTATAGACTAGACTATAGACTAGACTATAGACTAGACTATGACTAGACTATAGACTAGACTATAGACTAGACTATAGACTAGACTATAGACTAGACTATAGACTAGACTATAGACTAGACTATAGACTAGACTATAGACTAGACTATAGACTAGACTATAGACTAGACTATAGACTAGACTATAGACTAGACTAGACTAACTAGACTAGACTATAGACTAGACTATAGACTAGACTATAGACTAGACTATAGACTAGACTATAGACTAGACTATAGACTAGACTATAGACTAGACTATAGACTAGACTATAGACTAGACTATAGACTAGACTATAGGCAAGACTATAGAATAGACTATAGACTAGACTATAGACTAGACTAGACTATAGACTAGACTAGACTATAGACTAGACTATAGACTAGACTATAGACTAGACTATAGACTAGATTATAGAATAGACTATAGACTAGACTATAGACTAGACTATAGACTAGACTAGACTATAGACTAGACTATAGATTATACTATAGACTAGACTATAGATTATACTATAGACTAGACTATAGACTAGACTATAGACTAGACTATAGACTAGACTATAGACTAGACTATAGACTAGACTATAGACTAGACTATAGACTAGACTATAGACTAGACTATAGACTAGACTATAGACTAGACTATAAACTAGACTATAGACTATACTATAGACTAACTATAGACTAGACTATAGACTAGACTATAGACTAGACTATAGACTAGACTATAACTAGACAATAGACTAGACTATAGACTAGACTATGACTAGACTAAAGACCTACCTATAGACTATACTATAACTAGACTATAGACCTAACTAATATACTAGACATAGACTAGACTAGAGACTAGACTATAAATTGACGATAGACTAGACTATAGACTAGACTATAGATAGACTATAGACCAGACTATAGACCAGACCATAGACTAGACTAGAGACTAGACTAATCAACTATAGACTATACTATAGAACTAGACTATAGACTAGACCTGGACTGTAGACTTGACTATAGACTGGAATATAGGACTAGACTGTAGACTAAATTATAGACGAGACGACTGACTAGGCTTTACACTAATTATAGACATGACTAGAGGCTAGACTACAGATAGACTAGTAGCAATACTATAGACATGAAGAAAATAAAACTATATGCTAGTTTATAGGATAGAATATAGACCGTACTATAGGCCAAACTGTAGACTATACTATATATTAGACTGGTGAATAGACACCATGCTATTTATTAGACTATGGACTATAGACTATACTATAGACTAGACTATAGACTTTACTATAGACTAGACTGTAGACTAGATTTTCGACTAGACTATAGACTAGACTTGACTACGGACTTGACTATAGACAAGACCAAAGAATAGGCTATAAAAAAGATTATAAAGTAACTATAAAATAACTATAGACTGTAGGTTAAGCTATTGCCTTAACTTTGTGTACTATAGTCAATAGTGACTATAGTATACACTATAGACCAGACTATAGTATACACTATAGACCAGACTATAGTATACACTATAGACCAGACTATAGCCGAAGCTATAGACCAGACTATAGCCGAAGCTATAGACTATACTTTAAGCTAGACTATAGATTAGCCTATAGACTACACTATAATATAGACTAAACTTAAACATGTCTCATTTGAAAACATATTTCATTTCTTAGCAAATGCCTGTTTAACCTCTGCCACCCCTTTTTTGTGTTAAGTGCAATTTAGTTCCATATAAATTAGCTTTTAAAATTGCCACGTTAAGATTTTCATGCAAAATACTCATAAATCTAGTTTTTGTTTCACAAAGTGAAAAAATAATACAAATTGCTAGTTTATAATTTTAAATGTTATCATTTAGTTAGAAACCACGTATCATGGCACAACACATTGAAATGTACCTTAAGTACCGCCATATGACCTGGCTAACAATCTGATACTTTTCAACTAAATCAGCAGAAAAAAAATAAAATTGTTGGTAGGACAAGTGCTCTCCTAGTCATATATCCATACATATATTTTGTATAGCAATGCATGTGTATGCAACAGCTGTTGCACGCCACTTGGCATTTAATTGTTAAAAGAGTGAATGAAAGCAAAAAAAAAAAAGAAACCGAACTGAAAATAGTTGGCCCACTTAAAGTTCACTGAGTCGCTTGGTTGGTTGTGATTTTGTTGAGAGTCTCTCATTCCCGGAAAGTACAGGTCTTTACTTGATATCAAATAGTATATTTTGTAGGTGTGGGTGGAAGGGGGTGTGGTTGTTGGTGTAACTATTGCTACTAGTACCTCTTTAACAATGAAAACATTTATAATAGTCATGTTTAATTTTACCCTCATTTACCAAGAACAATCTGTATATCAACCATACATAGAACAACCAGAGCAGGGCGGCAGGAATAGCTAGTACACCCAAGAGTTCTAGGTGGACAATGAAATCCAAAATATTAGAATCGAATAAAGTCTAGTTAAGTATCGACTATAGTTTTGTCTGTAGTCTTGACTATAGTCTAATGTGTAGTCCGGTCTGTAGTCTCGACTATAGTTTGATGTATAATCACTACAATAGTCTGGTCAATAGTCTCTAGTCTACACTATAGACTGGTCTATGTTTCGACTATGTCTGGCCTATAGTGTCGACTATAGTCTGGTCTATAATCTCAACTATAGTTTGGTCTATAGTTTCTACTATAGTCTGGTCTACAGTCTCTACTTTTGACTATATTTTGGCCTATATTCTCGACTATAGTCTGACCTATGGCCTCAGCTATATTCTGGTCTATAGTCTCGACTATAGTTTGGTCTATAGTCTCGACTATAGTTTGGTCTATAGTCTAACTATAGTTTGGTCTATGTCTAGACTATAGTTTGGTCTATAGTCTAGACTATAGTTTGGTCTATAGTCTCTACTATAGTTTGGTCTATAGTCTCGACTATAGGCCAGGCTATAGTCTGGTCTATAGTAATGACCATAGTCTGGTCTATATTATAGACTATAGTCTGCTCTATAATATATTCTGGTCTATAGTCTCGATTATAGTCAGGTCTATAGTCTCGATTATAGTCAGGTCTATAGTCTCGATTATAGTCAGGTTTATAGTCTCTAGTCTCGACTACAGTATAGACTCTAGTCTAATCTATAGTCTTGACTATATTCAGGTCTATAGTCCCGACTATAGTCTGGTCTATAGTATAGACTATAGTTTGGTCTATAGTCTCGACTATAATTTGGTCTATAGTCTCGACTATAGGCTGGTCTATAATCGAGACTATTGACCAACCTATAGTATAGACTATAGTCTGGTTTATAGTAATGACCATAGTCTGGTCTATATTATAGACTATAGTCTGGTCTATAGTATATTCTGGTCTATAGTCTCGATTATAGTCAGGTCTATAGTCTCGATTATAGTCAGGTTTATAGTCTCTAGT